GGACTGTCCAGGGTGTCCTCTGCAGACCTGATCAGGATGAAGTTTATGAAGTAAAATAATTGATGAAACAGTTTGGTTTAGAACGACTTTCAGATTAACTGATTTACTGACTTGTATGTTTGTGATGTTGGTTCGTAAATGCACTCACAAAACACAAAAACCAGCGTGTGTGTGTGTGTGTGTGTGTGTGTGTGTGTGTGCCCCTGCTGGTGTTTCTGCATGAACGCACACTTGGATGAAGCAGAACTCTCCTTTGTGTGTGTTCTGTGTCGCCCTGAGGAAAGTCGCCCTTAATCTATTATTGAGCTTCTCCAATAAACACGTTAATTACAGCCTGGGGGGCGAGGGCTCACTGGAGGGACCTCGTGTCTGAAGAGAAGGTCCGACGTCGACCGTCTCCTTCACTTCACTCTCTGAACCAAACACAATCGCCGTCTTTTATTTGTTTTTCATCAGGCAGAAAATCTTCAAACGCACAAATAAAAAACAACACAAATAAAATGAACTTAAATAAAAATTTAAATCAATTTGTCATTGATCCAGATCTGTTTTTGGTGAATTTCTGAATTTGTTTTATTTTATGTTTTCTATTCACTTTTTTCTAAGTATGTGCAGCAGCGCCCCCTTGAGCTGGCAGTACCCTCAGTGACCACCGGTCTTGTTCCCTCACAGCTGTTCGATGACCAAAGGAAGCTAACGAACGTTTGCTTAGGTTTTCGCTATCTGTGACAACAGGCTAACAATAACGTAGCCTAATACGTGGTTTCGCAGTTGAACTGGAGCCGATTCCAGCAGCCGACGGTCGACGTGGCATTAATGTGAGGTCCTAGCAGTACGACAGCTAAAAGCTAACGCAGACCTTGTTAGTCTGATGATGTCACCCACAGGGCAAACGTCTATTGTTAGCTCGATTACGTTAGCACCGCAGCCCAGAGAGAGGAGCTGTTTCCAGAGGAGAATTAAACCTGACGCTCAGAGCAGAGAGAAAAAACCAAAAGCCGATCTTAGTCAAAGTTTAGAGAACAGTTAGCACGTGCTACCTTTTAGCTTCATTCAACTGAACTCATTCCCTCTTTGTCCTGCAGTCTGCTCTCAGTTTTCCAAAGGTGTCTACGCCATCCTGGGCCTGTACGACCGTCGGACCGTCAACATGCTGATGTCGTTCTGCGGATCGCTGCACGTCTGCTTCGTCACGCCATCGTTTCCTGTTCACACCAACAACCAGTTCCTGCTGCAGCTGCGTCCTCAGCTGCAGGAGCCGCTGATGGCTCTGCTGGAACATTTCTACTGGACCAAGTTCGTCTACATGTACAGCGCTGACTCAGGTGAGGACCTGTCAGCTAACGCTAGCTCTGGGCTAACATCTAGACATGTAGCTGTCTAGCTACACATTTAGCTACAGTAGCTTGTAGTTGTTGTTCACCTATGTTCCTGTAGAGGCGCTCATGACTATCAGACGGAGACCACAAGCTGACTTTTACCACAGACTCACATTTAAACCAACAGTGCTGCCCCCTGGTGGATGATCAATAGGACTGCCTCTGTGGTGGCAACATAATTAAAATGAACTCGGTCACAGTCGGTGGCCGACGCCATCTGATCCTTTACTGCCTCACATCTGCTCAGACGCCCTCACTGTCGCCCTCTCTGGTGTCCTGAAGGCACCATCTGTCTGACTTCATGGCTGTGAAACATCTGCCCAGGACTCGTGGACGTTTGTCTGTGTTTTTAGTTTGGTAGTATTAATGACCTCTGACCTCTGACCTCTGAGTCTGAGGTCGAGCTTGAACTCGGTGTGAAGAGAGTGAAGTCAGAGGGTTGACAAAAGAAAAGAGGATAATTTAGGAGACGGGAAAAAAAGTGTCAGTGTGTGACAGGTGGTGGACAGGTGGTGGTGATGACTGAGATGATTCCACAGACCTGCTCAGCATCAGCTCTCAGCTCCTGCTCCTGGACTTTGAGGACGTCTCTGACGTGGTCTGTGTGAGCGGCAGCCTGACGCCGGAGCTGAGTCCTCATCTCTGCCTCCATCACATCTCTCAGCTCTGCCAACTACACACACACACACAGAGAGAGAGAGAGAGAGAGAGAGAGAGAGAGAGAGTCCATTCAACTACAACACACTCCTGCACACAAACAAACTCACACACAAACAGATAAAGAAGTTATCGACCCTGACTCATCCCATAATTATCACTCTGTCTGTCTGGTTGCCATGGAGACAGCCTTGGAGTTTAGCCTCCTCAGTTCAGTGATGGAGAGAGAGAGAGAGAGAGAGAGAGAGAGACTTTCCCTCATTATAATATCACCTTTTGTTCTCAGTCACTTTTTATTAAAATCCAATTTAGTATTTTTACAATTAGAGAGAGAGAGAGAGAGAGAGAGAGAGAGAGCATCATCTCATATGAACAGAGAGTTTAATTGAACCTGATAGTAACACACACACAGATCCAGATCCAGGTCCAGGTCCAGGTCCAGGTCCAGGTCCAGACTCAGACCTGGTCCACTTCAGATCCAGTCTGTGTCTTTCAGGTCTGACCGTCCTACAGAGGATCCTGGACACGGCGGCAGAGAAGACGTGGCAGGTGACCACCATCAACCTGGACGTCCTGACGGAGACGGCCTTCGTCAAACTGCTCAACGACCTGGACTACAAGAGGGAGTTCCAGATGGTCCTGGACTGTGAGCTGGAGAGACTCAACTCCATCCTGCTACAGGTCATCAGTACTACAGGTCATCAGTACTACAGGTCATCAGTACTACAGGTCATCAGTACTACAGGTCATCAGTACTACAGGTCATCAGTACTACAGGTCATCAGTACTACAGGTCATCAGTACTACAGGTCATCAGTACTACAGGTCATCAGTACTACAGGTCATCAGTACTACAGGTCATCAGTACTACAGGTCATCAGTACTACAGGTCATCAGTACTACAGGTCATCAGTACTACAGGTCATCAGTACTACAGGTCATCAGTACTACAGGTCATCAGTACTACAGGTCATCAGTACTACAGGTCATCAGTACTACAGGTCATCAGTACTACAGGTCATCAGTACTACAGGTCATCAGTACTACAGGTCATCAGTACTACAGGTCATCAGTACTACAGGTCATCAGTACTACAGGTCATCAGTACTACAGGTCATCAGTACTACAGTTCTCTCCTGTCCCAGATCGCTGCTCAGAGGAGGAACCTGAAGAACTACCACTACATCCGACCACAGTGGTGAGAGGAAACATCTGCCTGACTCTGTGTGTGTGTGTGTGTGTCTGTGTGTGCTAACATTTAGCGCTGATAGCCGTTAGCTCTTGCTCCGTCTTTATTCCCAGTTCTTTCTCCCTCAGGGTTTCACAGACCTGAACATGACGGAGTTCCAGAAACTGGGTCCAAACGTGACGGGGTTCCAGATGGTGGACTGGTCTGATCCGGGCCTGGAGAAGCTGAACCAGGACTGGCTGGACTTTGACAACAAAGACCTGAAGCTGAGCCGGAGGAGACTCAGGGTTGGTCCACCGTCACACCAGTGTTTGTCAGTGGTAATACTGCGTGAAGAATACTGGTGAATACTTCAAACTTCCTCTCCTGTGCTCAGTACACCGGAGCGCTGACCTACGACGGGGTCGTCGCCATGGCAACGGCCTTCCAGAGCCTGCGGTGGCAGAGGATCGACATTTCTCGACGTGGAAACGCCGGAGAGTGTCTGGCCAACCCTCCTGCCCCCTGGGGGCAGGGCATCGACATCCAGAGGGCGCTACAACAGGTGGAGAACAGCAGAGGGTCGGCTGGTTGAACTTTGAACTTTGAACTTTGTTAGTATTTAACATGTTTGGGTTTGGGTTTTTACAGGTGCGTTTCCAGGGACTGACAGGAAACGTTCAGTTTGACGACAGAGGGCATCGAACCAACTTCACTCTGACTGTGATGGAGCTCACGCACAGTGGACCGAGGAAGGTACAGTACTGTCACTGCTGCTGCTGCTGTTGCTGCTGCTGCTGCGGCTGCTGTTCCTGCTGCTGCTGCTGTTGCTGCTGTTACTGCTGCTGTTGCTGCTGCTGCTGCGGCTGCTGTTCCTGCTGCTGTTACTGCTGCTGTTGCTGCTGCTGCTGCGGCTGCTGCTGCTGCGGCTGCTGCTGCTGCGGCTGCTGCTGCTGTTGCTGCTGCTGCTGCGGCTGCTGTTCCTGCTGCTGTTCCTGCTGCTGTTACTGCTGGTGCTGCTGGTGCTGCTGCTGCTGCTGTTGCTGCTGCTGCTGCTGATGTCGCTGCTGCTGTTACTGCTGCTGTTGCTGCTGTTACTGCTGCTACTGCTGTTACTGTTACTGCTGTTACTGCTGCTACTGCTGTTACTGCTGCTGTTGCTGCTGTTACTGCTGTTACTGCTGCTACTGCTGTTACTGTTACTGCTGTTACTGCTGCTGTTACTGCTGCTGTTGCTGCTGTTACTGCTGCTACTGCTGTTACTGCTGCTACTGCTGTTACTGTTACTGCTGTTACTGCTGCTGTTACTGCTGCTGTTGCTGCTGCTGCTGCTGATGTCGCTGCTGCTGTTACTGCTGCTGTTGCTGCTGTTACTGCTGCTGTTGCTGCTGCTGCTGCGGCTGCTGCTGCTGCGGCTGCTGCTGCTGCGGCTGCTGCTGCTGCGGCTGCTGCTGCTGTTGCTGCTGCTGCTGCTGCTGGTCACACTGGTGTTTGTTCTGGTCCAGGACCTGCAGAACATCCTGTGGTCCAAACCCGGGGCATTGAACCCATAAGAGTTGAGGCCGATGTTGGCTTCGTTTCAGAACCACTGCTGTTCAGACTGAAGGTCACAGAGTAGTGACACAAATTGACCACTGGGGGCAGCAGTGTACCAGCACAGCGAAACATTAAGCTCCAAGGTGAAGCTAACGTGACGGTAACGTGACGGTGTTCTGTGTTCAGATCGGCTACTGGAACGAAAGACGAGAGTTCGTGAAGACGGCGGTCTACAAACCCAAGGTGGAGGAGTACGTCTACGGTCTGCAGAACAAGACCTACGTCATCACCACCATCCTGGTAATACACGCTGTACTTCCTGTCTGTCAAAGTGTTTTGGGAAAATATCCGTACACTGAAATACTGCAGTATTTGGTTTCCTGATACTGCATCAATATTCTCCATCAGTGTATTTTTGTACAAACGTAATACACGCTGTACTTCCTGTCTGTCAAAGTGTTTTGGGAAAATATCCGTACACTGAAATACTGCAGTATTTGGTTTCCTGATACTGCATCAATATTCTCCATCTGTGTATTTTTGTACAAACCAGTAAATATAAACTGGTACAAGTCACCACAGCTCTGTACTGCTGCCCCCCTGTGGTCAGTGTGTGTCGTCTTCATGCTGTGATGACGTTGACCGTTTTGTGGAACAGGAGGCGCCGTACATGATGCTGAAGAAGAACCACGAACAGTTTGTTGGAAACGACCGATACGAAGGTTACTGCGCCGAACTAGCCGCGGAGATCGCCAAACACTTGGGCCTGTCGTATCGTCTGGAGCTGGTGAGCGACGGCAAATACGGTTCCAGGGACCTGGAGTCCAAGATGTGGAACGGCATGGTGGGAGAGCTGGTGTACGGGGTGAGAAGGCAGAACCTCACCCTCGTCCGTCGGGTTTCATCAGCAACACAAGCAAAACAAAAAAAAAAAAACTCGTCGACAGCGTACACTCACAGTTCTTTTAGTTTGAAAGCAGCTGCAGCTGCTGCTGCTGCTGCTGCTGCATATATTTCATCATAGATGAAGCCAAACACAGCTGAAAAATATGTTCAGTTCATCTCAACGTCTAGCAATAGGGGAGCTAAATGAAAGCTAACTGTAGCTAACTGTAAAATTAGACCAAATCTGATTGATTTTAACAAAAACATTTGATTTGTTGATTACATCATAGTCAGACATCGATAAACTCCCCCCCCCCCTTAGAACATTTAGTCCAGGACAGAACTGAACGGTTCTTTCACCTCTGTGTGTGTGTGTGTGTGTGTGTGTTTTGTGTGTGTCCAGAAGGCAGACATGGCGGTGGCTCCTCTCACCATCACCCTGGTTCGTGAGAAGGTGATCGACTTCACCAAACCCTTCATGTCTCTGGGCATCTCCATCATGATCAAGAAACCCACCAAGTCCAAGCCCGGCGTCTTCTCCTTCCTGGACCCTCTGGCCTACGAGATCTGGATGTGCATCGTTTTCGCCTACATCGGAGTCAGCGTTGTGCTGTTCCCACAAACTTATTTTCAACGTTTTTTTTTGTCTGATTTTAAGCAGCTCCAGGTCGAACATTTTTTAGTCTCTTATTTTAGCTAGCTACATGTTAGCTAGCTACATGTTAGCTAGCTAACATGTTAGCTAAGTGGGTCACACGGCTGTTTTTGGTGTTTGAACTAATGCTCTCCCACATTGTCTGAGGAAGTGAAACCTTTTTTTTTTCCATGGTTTCAGGTGAGTCGATTCAGTCCGTACGAATATGAGGGGGAGGAGTCTGATGATGAAGATGAAAGCCCGTCCTCCTCTGATTTTAGGCAGGCACTGCCAACGTCAGCGTCTGATCCTCCTCAGTCTCCAGGTGTGACATCATCGCGGTCATCGACAGCGCTGTCGTTCTTGACCTGTTCACTGCTCATTCTGATGGATTTTCTTTGACAGGGTTCTACCAGAACCAGAACCAGAACCAGAACCAGCAGAAGGAGAAAGACGCCCCGGAACACACTAACGATTTTAGCATCTTTAACTCTCTGTGGTTTTCTCTCGGGGCTTTCATGCAGCAGGGCTGTGACATTTCCCCACGGTGCAGTACTCTGACCTTAACGATAACGATGTCATCTGCGTATACGTTCATCAAGAACATCTGTGATTATGTTTAAAGGACAAGATGGTGTCATCTGCGTCCAGATTCTAAAATTGTAAAAATGTATCTAAAGATTTACAGTATTTTTGAGGTTGCGTTGTTGGTGTTCAGAATCAAACCGAGTTCCGTCCACAGTCGTGGCGTTTCCTCAGACTGAGATTACTGCTGTGTGAAACTCCTCCCACAGGTCACTTTCCGGTCGCATTGTGGGAGGAGTTTGGTGGTTCTTCACGCTGATCATCATCTCATCCTACACGGCCAATCTGGCGGCCTTTCTGACCGTGGAGAGGATGGTGTCTCCGATAGAGGGAGCAGAAGATCTGGCCAAGCAGACGGAGATCTCCTACGGAACTCTGGAGGGCGGCTCCACAAAAGAGTTCTTCAGCGTGAGTAAAGATTGGACTGGCGTTTCCAACTTCACTCCATCACTTATGGCGTGGACGAGTGACGTGTAACGTTTTGGTTTTCTGCCACCAGAGGTCAAAGATCGCAGTGTTTGAAAAAATGTGGTCGTACATGCGCAGCACCGACCCGTCTGTGTTTGTCAGGAACACAGACGAGGGCGTGGCCCGCGTCAGGAAGTCTAAAGGGAAGTACGCCTACCTGCTGGAGTCCACCATGAACGAGTACATCGAGCAGAGGAAGCCCTGCGACACCATGAAGGTGGGCGGGAACCTGGACTCCAAGGGCTACGGAGTGGCCACGCCCAAAGGCTCGTCGCTCAGGTGAGGCCAACCAAACAGGAAGTGGTCGGTGTGGCGTCCATGTTGGTGTGTGTTCTGTCTGTTCCTGTGCACGGTCCTGCCACCTACAGGTCTTTACATGTATGTGTGTTTATGTTTATGTTTATGTTTGTGTTTATGTTTATGTTTGTGTTTGTGTTTATGTTTATGTTTATGTCTGTGTTTGTGTTTATGTTTGTGTTTATGTTTATGTTTATGTTTATGTTTGTGTTTATGTTTATGTTTGTGTTTATGTTTATGTTTGTGTTTGTGTTTATGTTTATGTTTATGTTTATGTTTGTGTTTATGTTTATGTTTATGTTTATGTTAGTGTTTGTGTTTGTGTTTGTTTGTTTGAATGTCTTCCACAATAAACCACAGCTGTAAATTCACTGTCAATAAACGTTGATTTAATCTGAACCTGACAGGACACGTGTTAGTTTGGGTTTTCCCACTTGTTCACCGTGTGTCTGTATGTCTGTCCTGTCCCTGTCTGTCTCTCTGTCTGTCCTGTCTGTCTCTCTGTCTGTCCTGTCTGTCTCTCTTCTTCTGTCCTGGTCAGTCTGTGTCTGCCTCTGTGGCCCCCGTCCTCACGGCCCGTTTCTTATCTGTTGTCCTGGTTTGTTGTTCCTGTCTGACTGCACGTCTGCCTGTCTGTGTTACTGCTGCTGTTACTGCTGTTACTGCTGCTGCTGCTGTTACTGTTACTGTTACTGTTACTGTTACTGTTACTGTTATTGCTGCTGTTACTGCTGTTACTGTTACTGCTGCTGCTGTTACTGCTGTTCCTGCTGCTGCTGCTGTTACTGTTACTGTTACTGTTACTGTTATTGCTGCTGTTACTGCTGTCAGGTGAAACTTGAAAAAAAACCCCAATCTTAACATCATGATTTGTGCAGTGAATCACAGTGAATCAGAGTGAATCACAGTGAATCACAGTGAATCACAGTGAATCACAGTGAATCACAGTGAATCACAGTGAATCACAGTGAATCACAGCGAATCTGGAGCCTGACAGTCCAGACCTTTTTTACTCTTAACATATTTGACGTTGGCTTCAACTTCACGGGCAGCTCATATACTGCCTCCTACTGGTTGGCTTTGGTAGTTCTTCACTCTACACTGCACGATAAAAGATAAGAGCGTCCAATCAGCCGAGGCCTCACCTGACGGCAGCATCCGTTTGTCAGCTGTTCTTCATCACAGAAACATCTCAGTGATGTCACTTCCTATTGTTTCAGCGTCACGTCAGCACTTCACCGCTTCACCACCGTCCCAGAGTCAAAGGAACAATTAGAGGAACAAAATCGGTGACAGAGAATCTTTGTTTCCTGCTGCTGACTCTGGGACCACGTCAAAAGTCACATTAACATCAGCAGCTTTTTAACTGAGAATCAAACGCTGAATTCAGTTTCGACCTGCAGTATTTCACAGACAATTGATAAATAAATCTCTAAAATATGACACAACAACAACACACTTTATTTAAGGCGACAGTACTGCAGTGAAAAATACCTGGAAATGTCAGAGGGAAGTGAGAAAATCAGTGGTAACGACAGGAACGACAGGACAAAATCAAACAGTTAAAGAAAAATAAAAAGATATTTTCCAAGGAAGAACTTAAAAAGATCCAAAACAGAAGGAGGAACAGGAACTTCCTGTTTTTGGTATTTATACTTTTTATGGGTTTTATAAGAAAATGCTGCTGCTGTTACTGTTACTGCTGCTGTTACTGCTGCTGCTGCTGCTGCTGCTGCTGCTGCTGCTGTTACTGTTACTGCTGTTGTTACTGTTACTGCTGTTACTGCTGCTGCTGTTACTGCTGTTACTGTTACTGTTGTTGTTCTGACGGCTGATTCATCTCTGATCATACTGATTATTATTTCTTTGATCTTTTCCTTTGATTTTATATGTGTTCATTTTGTTCATGAAGAAGAAACCACAGAAGAAGAAAAGTTCCAGCTCTGATCAGAACTGATTTAATCTGTGCTTGTGATTCTGTCCGTCCTCATGGTTCTTCTTTCTCCTTCATCGATCAGAGGAATGAGAATGAATCCAGGTCCAGTTTTCTCCCAGAGTCCAGTCCGTTTTTCAAGCCAGACCAAAATAACACTTTTCTGGTTCACCCAGTGAACTGTGCCGCGGCCCAGAGTTTAAACCAAACCTGCTCCTCAATCTGTGTTAGGAGAAAGAAGGTTCCAGAAGTTCTCCACTGTCTACAGTTCTGTCTGTGACAGTCGGTTCTAAAGAACCGATGAGTTCCTGTTCTGGACTAAAAGCAGCAGCTGTGATGTGTTAAAACTGGTCTGGGTTGAAGAAGAGCAGGAGCAGATGGTCCAGGACCAGGACCAGGACCAGGACCAGGACCAGGACCAGGACCAGGACTCGCTAACTCTCACTGTCACTGTCGCCCCCTGTAGAAACCACGTTAACTTGGCCGTGTTAAAACTGAACGAGCAGGGACTGTTGGACAAATTGAAAAACAGATGGTGGTATGACAAGGGCGAGTGCGGCCTCGGGGGAGGGGACGCCAAGGTCAGATCGCCGTAAACCCCAACGGGTAACGACAGGCATTGGCTAACCAGGCGGGGGAACCGGCAACAACCACAGAGTTTCTCTCCAAACGTTTAAAATTGTTTTAAATATTAACACTCCGGGAGACACGACAGTGATGTCACAGATTTAACGAACGTACGATTCAACGTACGACTCAACGTACGATTTAACGTACGTTATTCTGATTTTAACGTTGGTCTCGATGCCGACTGTTCCACACAGATTAACAGAAACCGATGAAACCCAGAAATGTGGCCCACACCACAGAGAACCGGACTACGTCAAGAACACCACAGACCGTAGACCTGGAGGTTGTGGGTTTGATTCCACATTAACTCGATTATGTGTTTCTCTAAACCCGTGGTGCCCGGTCCACAGAGTGGTCAGTCCTAGTGGAGCACAGACCACGTGGTCCGAGACCTGGAACTGATTATAATCTGATCCCGGAGTGTTTCCTTTTTCCTTTTTTCTTTTTTTAACTTTTTTTTTTCTAGCTCTTGCCGGTTTCCCCAAAGTGATATCGTAATACACATCTCGCACCCAGGGAGTCAGGCTAGCGAGAGCGATATGGAGTATTAACACATATCACTTTGATGCTTTGATTTTTTTTTTCTCTGTGTTCCATCTGTGTTTGGTTCCACTTTTGTTGCTGAAGTGTTTCCTGTAGCTCGTAGCGCTAACGCCACTGTCTGCTGAACACGCTGAAGAATAACATAAGATAACATGGAGGTGCATAATGTTAT